TGTAATTGTTTTAGTAAGAACTAATACTTGCTTTGTTACCAGTTATGTCATTTTTGGCAATAAACTTTCAGAAAATCATGATCCAGTTTAGCTGATTTCTACATCATTTTTGAAATATTTTCAAAAAACTGATCGAGTGAAATTCTGCTCTAAGGGTTCTACACTGTTCTAAAGTGTGAGTGAATATGGTAGCATCTAATAGCTTTAGTAAAAAACTGATATCAGAAATGCAACGACGGCGATGTGAACCTAATATAAACATGATTTCAAAACTGAAATTGAGTGAAAATATGTGCAATACCATGTAGCGGTTTTAATAAAAACTACTACTTGCTTTGTTAATAGTTATGTCTTAGAAATAAGCTTTCAGAAAATCAACATTGACATTGGCCAGTTTTTACAGCATTTTTGAAATATTCGCAAAAAACTGATAGAGAGCACACTTAAATTTTGCTCTAAAGGTTCTACATTTCTTTAAACACATAAGTGTGTGACAGTCTGACGATTTTGGTGAAAAACTAATAGCGGGAATGCAGCGATGGTGCGTGAACCTAAGATTAGTAACATGTTTTCATGTAGAAATATTAGTATTTATTTTATTAAAAAACAATTATAAATTCCTTATTTAGCATGTATCATTTCTACTTATAGTGGGAATGCAGCAATAGCAACATGTATCTAAGAGGGGGGGTGAGTGTAATGTTCTAATAAAAATGGCCTGAAATGGATCCTGTGGAATGTTTTTTTTTACGTGGACAGTGACCTTCCTGTTGTTTAGAAGGTCAAAGGTACAAAATTTCATCAAGTTTGAGACAAAAACTGATCCGTGTGAATTATATATGCACAAAGGGACTAAGATCCAACCATGGCCAGTGCCGTAATTAATGGACTCAGATTTATCTTTTAATTTATTAACACACTCAACATAAATTATATACACTTTGTACAAATAGGAATATATAAGTTAGTAGAATTGTTAAACTTATAAAATTACCACATTGAGCATTCGGTCTCTCCCACCGAAAGCCAGTCCCTAACTCACCTATTTTCAGGGTTACAGTTTCGGAGGACCAGGTACTATAGGGACGTTCTTCTTTATAGATATAGAGAGAGAATTTTTAATTAATCCAGCTACCGTATTTCATGGGCCCAGTTAATAATTGAAATAAATATTCCTTTATTGCTTTTAAATTGCTTTGTTAATAACAATAAATTTTGCAGTCTCATAATATTATTGAAGACATAACGGCAAAGCTTCCAAATCCACCTATATTATTCTCCCAATCTGCATTATTTTTATTCAATTTTTTAAATCATAAAATATTACCTTATATTATGGCTTTATAACGCATCTGTATTTTCAAATTACATTATTTAGTTTTTAGTTGTATTCGCTGTATAACGCGCACCCTTTGTGAAGAAACCTGAAATATAGACATGTGATGCTTTTATCTTTTAAAGTCATTCATTCCAAGAATTTTTCCAGGCTTTCAAATAATGGTATACTGAATTGACTAGTGGTAAGGGAAATGGGTGTGGGAAGTAAATAATTCTACAAACATGTGCACAAGAAAGTTATTTTAGATTTTCGAGAAAAAGAGAGATATAATTTGGGATAAGAACGCACTTTTGTTCCGAATGAATTCCCAGGATTAGAAGTTGGATGTTTCTCTTTCCGTAGTCGACTGAAGTGAACATCGAAGGCTTTAGTAAATTTCATATGCATTAGTTGAAATATGATTGGTCTAGTGTTCTTTTTAGTAGTAAATATGGCTCCTGCCAAGTGAAACAAATACACGTGCAGAGTCATTCAATTTGTGAAAGAAAATGGAAATCATGCTGCAGCACGGATGTTTGGTGTTGGTGAAAGCTCCATACCAGAGTGGAAAAAAATGAAATCATAATAATTAATATGCTAAGGAATAAGTGTGCTTTGTGTAATGGAGTAATGAAATGGCCTATCCTAGAAGGAAGTGTTGCGAACTGTGTACTAACTAGACAATCACCAGAATGGATTAATTGTAGCAAGAAACAACGTAGTACATTTATTTGCTTTAAAGTGGGGGGGAGTGAAAACTTTAAAGCAGTTTTGAGTTGTTGCATGGCATGGAATAATTTAATTGTATAAGAAAAAAACAAAAGTTTTGCAAAGGCTACTTGAAGAGTTTCTAGAAGTGTGTTATTGACCTACAAAGGCAAAAAAATTATTTATTGTCACATATTGGAAATATGGATGAAACCTTCAGTATCTTATGGGGGCACATAGAAAGGGGCGCAAATTCTTCAGTTGTCCCCGGGTGCTGGAAACTCTAGCTACACCCCTGCAAGTACATTATTAAGGTTATAAAATTGACGGCATGGTTGGCAGCGGAGCGCTCGTCCCACTGCACCCGCGTTTCAATAGCATCGATTAAAGTTTCACATATACTTGCTAATAAAAAAAGGCCATATACAGATGGAAGAGCAATAAAAGAAGCAGTATTGAAATTTGTAGACGTACTTTTTTGAAGAAGGCCGAAATTATTTGTGCCGTGCAAAATTATTAGCCATGCAGTTGTCTGCTAAAACTGAAACAATTGCAGGCCACTTAGAAACACAATTGATAAACGATATGAATAAATGTGCATTTTCCCCCTTACAACTAGACGAATCGAAAGATGTAACAGATACAGCTCAACTGGCAATAAGTGTCAAGTTGGCCTTAGAAAATTTCACTATAAAAAATTTTAGTTTCTAAAAAATCCTACCTACTAAGAAAACATTTATTTTATGCAATAAAAGCGTTTTTGATTGATGCGGAAATACCGATTGAGAAATTATCTTCAATAACAACTGGGAGTGTGCAAGTTATGACAGAGAAGAATATCGGATTCATTGCTTTATACCAACAATATCCTTTTTTTCCCAAAATTTATCGCATATCATTGCATTATACAGCAGCAATCACTGTGTGCAAAAATTTTTGAGTTCCAAGATGTAATCGCTGTTGTTATAAAAATAATGAATTCAATAATGAAGACAAACGGAGTGCACTAGATTACTTAAAATGCTTTTGGAAAATGACGAAGATATACATTTTACCGATCATCTTTTGAACTCTGAGGTTCGCTGGCTGAGCAAGGGAAATTTGCTTGAGTGATTTAGTAGTTTCTTACTACAAATAAAAGAGTTTCTAACATCTCAACGTAAAAAAAAACTGAAAGACAAAAACCGTTTAATAAATTTTTCCTTTTCGGCCGATTTAACATTGAAACTTAATGAGCTAAATTTGAAATTACAGGGCAGGAATAATCACGCTGCTGATATGATCAGCGTTATAGCTTCAAGTCAATTTGGAATTGTATAAATCTCATCTCTTAAGAAAATTGTTAAAGAATTTCTCCAATATCAAAAAATGGCAGAAAGTCTGAAAGGGCATAATATTAATACAGATTCATATCTTCAAATTGTGTCTGTATTGCAAACTGAATTTGATTCTAGGTTTGTTGGCTATGCGAATTTAGAAACTATTTTAAAATTCTTCATAAATCTCTAATATTTCTGATGGAGAAAACAGCTACATTTTCATCGTAACAATATAGAAAACTTAGAAATAGTAAACTTGCAAAATGATGTTATTTTAAAATCTTTCGGAACTAGCAAAATATTTTGGAGCTTGGTAAAGAGAAACCAGTATTCTGTTTTAGAGTCATGTGCAGTAAACATTTAATTCTTATTGCTCCAAGTCCTGTAATTGTGAGACGTTGTTTTCGAATATGGCTTATTTGAAGTGAAAGTACCGTTCAAAACTTACTGATTAACACTCAGATAATTTTTAAGAACATGCAACTCGAATTATATTGTCGATTATAATAAGTTAGCAGACGACTTACAAGCACAAATTTAACATTTACATACCAAAAAATATTTAAGAATATAAATTATAAATATTTGTTATTTTGTTCAATAAAGTTTTATTTTTTAAACAAAGCTAGTTTGCAATATGACGTTTGATGTTTGATTATGAAATATGAATGGGCGGCGCTCGCTAAGAATTTTAAATTTGATTTTGTGCCCTCGAGGACCAAAAGGTTGTCAACAATATGAAGGAAGTCTTTCAGTATATCAGTATTTCAGTATTTCAGTTGCAATAAAATGTTTGACAAAGTTGTCTTAAAATCGGATATGAGAATTTCATCAAAGAGCAATTCAATAAGTTTTTCATATTTTTTTGTTGAAATGGGTTAGATCTGATTATAATATCGCACGATGTATCTATTATTTAGTCATGTTGAAATGGGTATCTTAAATCTTCTGCGATAAGAGATTAGTCTTAAAAATGCAAAATGCATTGTCTGAATTCTTTAATAGCTGACAAAATTGCCTACAGCAATTAAGGGATTCAGAAGATAAATTCTTTGCATTCGATTCATCTAGGATTAGATCTAATTAATTTTTCTTGCTGCTGCACATTCATCCGAATTAATTTCTTTTAAAATTGGAAAATTATTGTAGGTATTTGCTTTGGTTGCTTTTAAACTGCTTTTATTAATTTTTATTTCCCTCTTAAAAAGACGCTAGGAAACAGAAATTTGTCTTCATTTTCTCAGTTCTTTTAACTTGGTTATTTATCTGCATCACGGAACAGGTCAAATGCTCTCTGCTTGTTTATCTGGTGGCGCAGCTCTGTTTGGTGAAGAGAATAATTTGATTTTGTAGCGAATACATTTTGTCATCGTTTTCCCAGAAATGGAGCCATCAATATGGTGCTTATTGGCCGTTCTGTCTTTTAACGAGGAACAAAGTTATGAATGCAGAAATACCAACACTGGAGCCCATGTGTAGTAGATAAGCAGTTTGGATAAATTGGATAAAAGCATTAAAAGTTAATATTTTTTTAAACGTGAAGAAATTTCCATGTCTTTAGTGAGGAATGATATCGCCACGATACTAAAGATTTTGATTTTAAAATAAATAAATAAATGAAGTATAGAAATGCAACATTTTATTAGCATAACAGAATGCATTTTTGATGAAGAGCGCAGATAGAAGTCTGTTAAAGTTGCATATATGGATATCAATATTTTATTAATTAATATTGAAATAAAATACATTGTACTCACATTCTTCTCTATTACCCTGTTGCGGAAAAGATTATACTTATTATGCAATAAATATTTCCATCAGTAAGCAAAAGAAGATGATGAATTCTGTTATTCCATGCTTGCGCAATAGGCTCCCCGATTTCAGATTCCTATCTTATAAAAGTTCTTTCACTTTTATGGATAACATTTATGGTCACAAGCAAACTCTGTAGGATTTATGAGCCAGACTGAAGAGTTGACTTTTCTCTTCAGTGTTGCTGAATTTCTTGAGAAATTCTTAATCTTGAGGATCATACGGAAATTCCCTAAAATGTATAAGTAATGCAGAAATAATTAGCCATTCACAAGCAAATATTTTTATATTATATCAAAATTCATTTTTAGTAGATAAATATCTTAATTAAAAAATGAAGTTTCATTGCATCTTAATATTGAAAGTGTAAAGATTTAAATTAATTTTCGCTTTAAGTTCTGATAACTTAAATTCTTCCATAGTATAATTCAATTCACACGATTATGAGTATTACACAACTATTTTCTCTATGATTTGTCTTACACTTATGGTTCCAATATGAAAAGGTCGAACTACCGATATTCAACGGTCTTAAAAACTGGTTAAGACTGCTGAATGCTGGTAGGTTGACCTAGACTCGAGCCCAGGCGAACGAGCTATCTACACGGTTTAGTTTTCGTGGTTTTCTCTGTGCGTAATGTGAATACGAGAATTCCCTTAGAAAATCCTCTGTGAATGCACCTTTCCCTCTTAAGGAAATATCCTTCGTATAATTTTCTATATTCAAAAACACTAATCTAATCCAATATAAAAAATAAGTGAAATCAAATACCAGACTGCAACAATGAGATGGTACCATTTTAATTAACATGATACGAAGTTTAAATTTTATACAGGAGCCTCATAGATGGAGAAAAATTATCAATACAACCAAAAGTTATCAAATAAAAAAAGTATGTATACCTAACTATCTTCAAGTGATTAAAATTATCCAAAATATAAATTAAAATTTTGTGCTTGCTGTGCATAATTTAGTTAATAATTTCTGTGCACATTGATTTTCAAATGCAATGTTTTGAGAAATAATGTATGTGCTACAAAGATATGAATGCAGAAGCATGGGCTTCAATATATATTCGCAGAAACTCTAAAATTTAAAACTTTTTAACTACCAAAATTTTATCTATTCAGCACCTAAAACCAAAATTTCTGTTTTCAATGGGTGAAAATGATTTATGTCATGTAATTCTGAAAATTCCCTTCGGGATGGGCTTGATATATTAAATACGTGCTATATATTAAATAAGTGCACTACGATAACTTTAGTAGGAATAATTTATTAATTGAAATCTTATACATCCCTCGTCGATAACAGAATAAAAAAAAAAGGCCTGTAATACTGTTTTTACATCTTGCGAATCATCAAACATTCGAAGGGCCTTGTAAAGAAGGTTATATGGTATTTCTCCCGCCTTCGTAGTGTAGTAGTCAGCACGCTCGGCACGTATTCGAGAGGCCCGTGGTTCGAGTCCCGACGAAGGCGTTGCTCATTTTTCATCTCTCCAACTTCGAAATAAGCTAATGTCTCTACAGTGACGCCCGAACTAAAAAAGGCGGTGAAAGATGACACTTAACCACCAGGATTTGGCGATTGGGTCCTCTAAAACCCCAGTCGCACTTTAAAAAGAGGAGTATATAAGGTATTTCTCTCGCCTTCGTAGTGTAGCGATCAGCACGCTCGCGCGTATTCGAGAGGCCGGTGGTTCGAGTCCCGACGAAGGCATGGCGAGGAAACTTGAAAGCCTACACAATCATTAACTTCTACCAGCTCCTCAGAAAGTAATTTGCAAAGGTGCTCCAGAATCTACAGCATCACTGGAAATGGTACTACATAAAATGTGCTCGCCAACTTCTTTGGAAAGAGGGGAGAACCAAACCTTCTAATGACCCAGATATTTTTCCACAAACTTTTGGAACAGCCTTCGTATTATCACACAGGATGTAATAAACTTGCTTTGTCCGAAACAGGGTTTTCCAGAATTGTTACACAGCTAGATATCATTTGAAATGTTAGTGATTAACATGATTTAAAAAGTGAGTCAAAGAAGATAGTTCCCCAGACGACAGCATTTTCCATTACAAGACGCTTTTCAGTAAGACTACACGTAACTAAAATTTTTATGTGTACTTTCTTTATAAAGCCCTTCGAATACAAGTTTCTAAACTTTTGAAACAGCCTTAATATTCTATCGTATATTGAAGATACTATTTCCACTGTTTTATGTCCACTTCACGAATTTTGTTTAATACAAGTTAAGAAAGAAATGAATACTTGCATTTCCAGACTATATATCTTCGCCAAAGGACAGTCTTTTGGTACTGCATTTCTGGTTAAACTATGACAGCTATAGCTACAATCTATAACAGAAGTAAAGGCATGTGTGAATGTTCAGTCTACACATATTCAAAAATACTCTAATATTATTAATACTCAGAATTTGGAAAAAATAGGCAAGAGTTATGAACTAGTAATTCAAAAGCAGTTCCCTAATTTCTGTTCGCTGTCGATTTAGTTAATTTCAACACTGATTCTATTTTTATAGCTAATAGAACACTGATATGAGTTATAATGCATTTTGATTAGAACTGGATTTCTTAGTTTTCTTTACAAACTAACTATCTTAATCGTTTGTGTTCTGTTTATAGATTAGATTGCAAAATATAACTCATAAAAATCTGCTATTTTATAATCAAATATAGGGAGAAAACATGAAATAAAAATTGGCTGCTTCAGCGACAAATGGGTCGCACTGTATAAAATATTGCTTCCTATTGAATCTGTTAGCATATTCTATGGGAATACTGATTGCATATACTTCTGATGAATTTTGAATTTAAAGGTATGGAAGTATTTACATTTAACTTTAAAAATATAAATATTATTTTATATATTGGAATTTCTGTTATAGTTCTTTCAAATGCTTAGTTAGATATGAAGTCGTGTAGAATGATTGCTGCTTAAAAAAAAAAAAAAATAGTAATGGAAATAAATTTTTAAAAAAAATAGAGAACTTACAATCGCGTAAAAATAAAAACTAAATTTATTTTCATTCAACAAAAAGGAATAATTCACTAAAAACTTTATTTTAATAATAAAATAAAAAAGAACTGATAAATAAATCTCCCGATTATTTTGCGTTGCATGTTAATAAACTGTAAGGTTTATCCCAAGTTTATAACAGTTATTTTTAAGTTAAAGCTCCTTTCCTGTCTCTCCTAATTTCAGCTCACAATTTCCTACCAAAATGTGTTTTTAAAATCGCGATTAATGCAAATGAGTAAGAGTGGTATTTAAGTCGAAGTTCCACTGACTTAAAAAGACATTAGCATATTTAAACTTGGCAACAAATTTTCAAGACCTCATCGCAAGAATACAATTCCTTGATATATATTTTACTTCATCTATGTTTATTAAGTTTCAACTTTATTAAGCATTTTCCATATAGCAAATAACATTTTCATGTTTGTTTTACTTAGATACTAATCTAAGTTGCGCAAAAGCACTTATTCCTCTATTTCCAGCCATAGGCCTCAGAGCACAGCGCCAACTCTAGAGGTCAAAACTTCTAGCGTTTGATGCCTCGAGAACCACCAGCGATGTCCGATGACTTGAGATAGAGCACTCAGAGTTTCTGACTAGCGCGCGTTCGCCTTTTGGCTACGTCCCTCTCTAAGCTATTACTAGGCTCGGCCGTATTTCAGGCCCTTGATAGCTTTGCTAGCTTATTCGATATTTAGGGGCCGAGTACATAGAAATTTGATAGCTTCGGCTATATCTTTTTAGTTAAGCATTAGATAAGTTTTATTTCTGGTTACTTTGAGTTCAAGCTCGAGTGGAGGTTTTACTGTACGCTCTGAAAAAGGAGCCAACTGTTAAACTCTTATTTTGTATAATAAAGGGTAATTAACACTTCTTGAGCGTTACATTTCTGTTTCTGGACTTAAGCGATTATTCGCTTCGTAATTCACTAGGTTCCTCGACACTAATATATAAAAGGAAGGAACACTACAAGATTATTAAAATTTGATCGATAGATTTAAGTTATTATAGAGCATGTTCTGAAATTTCGGATTGCCATTTATATTTCGCCCAAAACTTCACTAATTTTTAAAAAATGAAGCTGAAAACGTGAACAGAAAGAAGTTCTTTATAAGGTTCCCATAACAATTTAGGAAATTAAATCCCTTCTTCTTTTTGTTACACTGGGGGATCAACTGTATATGACTGCATATCCTATGTATCGATAACATTAATGAGAATAAGAATGCCTGAACTGACTTTAGAATGAAAAATCTTAATATAACTTTATTAATTTCTGATTCCTACCCCTTCTTCATAGGGTATAGGTCCTTATACTTTCAGTACTGTATCTCACCAGCTACAAGGTTTATTCTTGTATAACCTGAGAAACTTTGAGCAAGGTTTTAAAAAATATGCATTACCGCTAGAACAAAACCAAATTGCCATCTATCATTATGAAGGGAACTATTACGGGAAGGTTCATAGTGCGAGAAAATCATAGTTTCCAGTGTCGTGCATAATTCTCCAAGTTATAACAATCTCAGTGGCTGTAAAAGCGTGAAACAAGTGTTGAGCAGTACATATAATATAAAAGAATAAGTAAATATAAAAGAATTTAAGTAGTAAATATAAAAGAAATATAAGTAGTAAATATAAAAGAATTTAAGCTAAAAATCCTTTTTTCATATCTTGCTGACTTATTATTCATTATGAATCTAAAAGAAAATATGGAAAGCGAAAGTGAAAAGAACGATGGTATCACATCATGCAGCATACAGATTTACATAAAAATGGGACAACTTTTACTTGCATTCCTTTGTTAGGAAACTGCCGCGAGGATCTTAATTTTAATGTTTATTGCTAATATGCAGTTAGAAATGTTAATTAACGCATTAATGTTAGTTAGGGCCGTCTTAACACATGTGCCCGCAGGATACTTGCCCGGGGCCCTACTAGCATGGTAATCCACCCCCACTTACATTTCCTTTTTGTGAGTGGTTTAGGAGTCGAATTAGGGGCCGCTAATGTTGTTAACACAGTTCTGTTGTAAATATCGAAAATTTCGCTTAAAAATATTAGCCTAATGAAAAGGAGAATAGAGGCTCCATTATGAAACACTGGGAATTTGGACAAAGCGTTCCTTTGCAGCCGAGCGATTAAGTTGCTGAGCGATTAAGCTCGGTTCGGGGTTTGAATCCCGACGAACGGGCTATATTCATAGATGTTTTCGTGGTTCTCTCCATGTGAAACGTGTATACGAATCAATTTCCTTTAGAAATTCCTCAACGAAGACATTCCTCCCCTTAGGTAGATAACCCTCGAGTGCTTTAATTAGAATAATATAAAATAAGCAAAGTCGTTCATTCAGGATTCCCCAGTTATGACTTCATACGGCAGAAACAAGATTTGGAAGAATTATAGGATGACATAAGGGTTGTATAGGGTCCTACTCGGCGGCATTGTGGTGTTATACAGTAATCAGATCCTATGAGAATGCTAAATTAATAGGTGAAAGGAAATTGATTTTCATAGCTGAGCTATTATTTGTTTATTTATTATTTTGATGGTGAATAATGATTACTATACAGGGACAAAAACTCATAACCGCCGATTCGACACAGTTTTTTATTCACACCGAAATTTGCCCGAAGCAGTCTGCTATAAACTTTTGATTTGTTGAAACAGCAGTATCTGCAAATCGCTATAAAACGAAGTATGAATGTGCAATTTAATTTGCAAATCTCATTTAAGCTTACCTCGACATTTATACCATTCCTCTGCTATTCGAAAACTTTTATTTAGTAGAACGAAACAGGAGAAAACAGATGCTCTTGGTTTCTGTTGTATGAAAGAATGACCCATGAAAATATAAACATGTTTTCCATATAACTGCCATCTTCCTTCAAATGAGCGCTCATGTGGAACAAGGAACCGTCTGTAAGTAACGTATGATAGTGAATTCAGCAACTGAAAAGTTAAGTTCTAAAGAAGAAGTTATGCAAAAATTCATATTCCTTATAAAAATGAGCTCCCTATTCATATGCTGATCTCAAAAATAAACACGATGCTTTAAATTAAACACGATGTTTAAAACATGCTTTAGTTTAACATTATTGAAATTTTCAAGCTCTTACTTCAGAAGTCCGTTTCGCATAATTTCGACAACGACTCTGACATGACCAATGTATGTAAATGTTTCTGCATGTACGGTTCCAAAAGCTTCGTAGAGAGTCAGAATGGGAATCTCGATAGTTTGACCTGAAGGAAATATACAAATAGAAATATTAAGTTATTCGTTCTTTATCTAAAGCAAAAAATTGTTAACTTTATGCATTATATAATATTATGAACAATAGTTATAAATAAAAAATGGCTAATTTTCGTGTAAATTACAAAAAAGATTATTTAAAAAATTAAAAATTTGAAAAACTTTTAATAAGATAAAACTGAATGATATTGCAACATGTACGTAATATATGGCATAGGGATATCTGTCAATATTTGAAATAATATTGTGTAGAGGCATTAGGATATTTCGAAACAGGAAATATGAAAAATGTGCAATGCCCTCGCCGGTAACCCACGGACCTGTCGAATACGCGTCGAGTGAGCTGACCACTATATCACGAAGGCGGGTTAGGGAACCCAATCGCCAAATCCTGGTGGTGGAGAATCATCACCCACCCTCTTTTTTAGTTCTGGCGCCACTGCAGATTTATTAAGTTACTTGTAACCAGGAGTATAAGAAAAATAAGCAATGTCCTCATCGGAGCTCGAGCTACGGACCTCCCGAATACGCGCCGAACGTGCTGACCATTACACCACGAAGGCATGCTAAGAAGGCAGGAGAAATGCTAAGAAGGCAGGAGAAATGCCTTATAACTGTACTGTATGTATTTTAGTATGCAGCAATTAGATGCATTAATAGAAAAAGGTAAAATAAAGATTTAAATTATTAAAGAAATGCATTTATTGCTTTTAAACTCCTCCGTTTGAATAGCAATGCATAGACTGATTAAATTTGAAAGATAAATTAAAGTTATTCCGCCTGGCAACAACTTACCTCGACATTTGCAGCCGAGCGATAAATTAGTTATGGAGAAGATGGTTAAAAGATAAATTAAATACACTGTATTTCGTGCATTAGGAACACTTTTAATGAAGCGTGGATGATTTATGTATGATAGCGTAATGTAACGTAATGTAACAAACGTAGTGGTCCAAACATTTTGGAAAGGTTATGCTAAGACTATTTTTAACGTCAATAAATAAATGAATGATTAATATATAATTAAAAGGAGAAACCTTTTATTATTCAATTTATTTTGCAGAAAAAACAGAAGAAAGTATTGTGGAGTGGGGGATTAAGTGCATCACATAAGCATTTCTGAAAATAAAAATAATATTAATTTTGCATCAAAGCTTATTTACGTTAGCTCATCTGGTTATTTGCACAGAACGATTTCAAAATTTCTATCAAATTTGAATTTTGCCTAATTTTAATCTATGTAATTATGGTTTATTTCTTTGAAACTTCCGAAGTCTGAGTCCAAATCAAAGCAATCTTTGATTCCGAAAGTAACTCGTACCAAATTTATGGATACATATGAATAAGAGAGAGTTAACCAGCCTATGAGGTTTTGCCGAGGATATTGCGCTGAGTGCAATGTGATGGATGCCTTTTGACGGCATCACATGTTGTAGTCATAAGGTGGGGTTTCCAAATGGGATGACGGAAGAACGTTGGAAAATGTGAAATACACGAATCTCAGAAGTTTTGAGCGAATGAATTCAAAGCAATATTATAACCATGTAAAATCTGAACAGGGATGAGATTGAACATTTCGTGAAGTTAAAAATAAGACGGATTCAAATTTTATGATATTTGAATGCCAGAGGGGGGGGATAATATTTGCAAAAACTGCACGTACAATATCAAAGATACATTACTTGAATAATTAAGGATACAGCAGAAAGTGGCAAGTTACACATCATAAGCAAATAAGAAATAAAGGTACAGCACACAATAAATATTTAAATATATAATATAAAGTTAAGAGCATTAGGTAATACCTCCACCAGTGAGACTAAGCAGTTTACAAGGTGTAGGAATGCAAAATTCCAAATCAGAAAGAAATGCATTTTTATACTTTTAGCTGTGTGGCTTAGCATAATAATCTAATAAACCGGGAACAGCGATTATTTTAGAAGAAACATCAGAGGGCTGAGTATTCAAATCACATCGGGTACAAATTTGACTATTTGATTTAGCATAATAAATAAACTACAAAATTATTATTATAGAAGAAATGTAACATCATCAAAGCATATATATATCATTCAGCAATAGGTATAGCTAAAGCTGGAAATCATTAACACCAGAAAGACAGCCCCTGCCCTGGAGAGCGGAGCTCTCCTTTCAAGGTTTAAATGAGCTGCAACTCCAGAACCGATCTGGTAGGGAGCCACCCCTCCCGATCGATGCAGAGGGTAAATTTCCCTCACAGATTTGGTCGTCAGTGCCGTGTCTGGCAGGCGACCGTCACGAAGAGATCCACAGGGTCAGCTCCTGCACTGACTAGCTACACAGTCAAAGTGGAATCCAAAGTTAAATTACCTCGATCGGGGCACCACTCCGTCACGAGGTACTCAATTCTAAGTTAAAGCCAAAAACAGAGTTCATACGTCTCTCCACACCGACCAGAAGGAATCATATCCTCTCAGACCAGCAACTACCATCCACTATGTAGCTCCCCACAGCTTTGGTCGCAGACAAGACAATACCAACAGTCCCTGTCAAGCCTGAACGACCATCGAATAATCAATAGCTCTAGTCTTTCGCTGTGAAGAATGTTACTTTACTCTTTAGTTCAGAGCTGTTTAGACACATAAGTCTAACCAGTGATCTGAAAAAGTCTTACAAAATGCGATCCCTCTGGGAAGAAGAACTTTATAGGCTACACCAAGGGTGGTTCAGAAAGTTAAGTCTATATAAAGATGCAATTTTATCTGACTGCGAAGAATGCTGTTCAAAATTTTTATTTTGTTTTCCGTACCATGTCATATCACTATTAATTTAATCACTTTTCATTTGTTTTATCCTTTCATTTTATTTTTATGACATTTCATTTGATTTTATATTTTATTTTTTTAAATATTGTATATCTGTATTTTAATTTATTATTAACTTTCTATTTGTTTTATTATTTCATTTAATTTCTGAGATATTTTTATTTGATATGTACCTCTTTGTCATTAATTTAATTTAATCTATTAATACCTTTTATTTATCTCTATATATTTTATTTTATTTGAATATTCATAATTTCTTACTACGTTCTAGCCATAGGGCCCCTGCACTTCTAATATTAAAAATTGAGCCCTGGTTTAGAAGAGAAATATATTCTACAGATCTTGACTGTGGAACTAGTTTTAAAATATTCCCAGGTGATTCATGAGGTTGGAATTGAAACTTGAAGCTTTTTCACTGGGGTTTAGGTGACAAGTGATGTTCTCTGTCCGCTAAAATCAGAACTAATATTATGAATGCCATAAGCCGTAAAAAACATTTATAAAATCCTTGAGCAACTTTAAACAATTATAAATTAAAATATACTCTAGATCGGAGTTAAACGTGAGTTCTCAGAAACGACAACTCGACAGTTATTTTTGCACTCAAAGAGCACACGGTATGCTAACGACAGACAAAATTCAGAGTTGGATTTATCATTAAGCAGCAGAAGCACATGGTTAGGGCATAAAGAAAAGAGGCCTCAAACAAAATTGTCCTTACATATTCAGAAAAAAGGAGCACCAAAATTTTCCTGTTACCGATTTTACCATGGAACGCATGATGCAGCTAAATCAAAACCCAGAAAGAGAAGACATAAAGAAAAAACTGGTGTGGGACACCAAAATCTTTCAAGTTCTTACGGCCTCCAAAAAGGTTAATCCAGTCCTGACAAAACCGCTATTTTATGGGATCGGATCAAAGCCGATAGCTCAATGAAATGAATCTGTCTTTTTTTCATAATTACCCCTCACTAGCAATAATCTTGATTAAAAATATTCAGAAGGAGGAATAAACCAAGAGTACCTAACGAGAATGAAGCGAAGAGAGGAAAGAAATGAAATAGCTGTGGGACTGGGACCGATTAACGAGGCTGGAACGAAGAGCGAAAAGTATCAAACGAACCGTGAGATCGGAAAATTCAACTGCAGCAAACGCTAATTTACGTCCTTGGACTGATTTCTTTCAGTAGTTCTGATATTTCTAAAAAACATTCTTTCTACGCAGCACTAACAAAAAATTCTAGAATAAAAATTTTTCATACTTGGAAAATGATAAAAATTAAACTCACTTTTAAAGGGAAAGGTTTCCGCATGTGAGTGAGGAGACTTTAGTTGAACGTCTCATGTTCTCATGAGCTCGTACATCTAGGGAAATGGAGTATTGCAAGATCTGCTTATTGTTAAACTAAAATGTTAGAAATTCTAAAATTTTTTGTTGAAATTGTGGCTCAGTTTTATAAAAAGAAGTACCGGAGCTCATCTTATTTAAGGGTTCCGATGCGCTCCGGCTAGAATTGTAACTTATCTTAAAAATTGAGAAGTACCAGAGCCGGCCTCCGGTGGACACCGGCGCAATTTAAGCACTGCTGCGTGTAAAGTATAACTAATCCTATAAACATTATTTTATCGCAAAAATATACCAAATTGAAACTGACCACCTCCTTTAGTTACGCCACTGCAGGCTACCATGTGATTTGAAGTTTCTGATGCAGTTTAACTTGACAAAAGGAAAACACTGTGTGATTGCTAGGCAGACTGCAAAAGCCAAAAGCAATACTGTTCATTCTGCGCTGGAGAACATGGGGTTTGGGAATGCAATGCACATCAACCGCAGTGCATTAACTTCGGGGACGCAAACTCACGCTATGGATCAAGACATAATTTTACCCACCCAGCCTACCACCCCAACTGTCCGCAGTACCAGCGAAGAGTGCAGACCATCAAAGACAGTACAGAGTACTAGAAGCCTGACAGCGCCTTTAATGCGCTCAACAGCAACCTCACGTCCCGACGAAAGTTTCCAAATATTAAACACGGCTAATATAGCACAGAGCCCAATTGCATTCCTACAGATAAATTTACAGAGGGCACAAGCAGCGACAAATAGAGCAGTAGCATTTGCCATCGAGCACAGTATCGACTTCATTCTAGCACAAGAACCGTACACACGAAATGGCCAAGCAGTG